GAATTTTTGGGCGGCACCCGGAAAAGTTACACGGTACTACAAGCTACAAGGGTTAATACCATTCGAATAGAGGATGCGGCCAAATGATATATGGCTCCTATCCTGACAAGGTTTGGCCACCACTGGCATCCACTATTACCTAGAAACAAATATAACAAAATTCTTAATAACGTTCAATGAAAGTTCCATATTATTTGAAACCTGATAGGCAGTCTTTGATATAATGAATAAATTTTTCTTGAGTTCCAATTCCTGCAAATTTGTCAATGAAAATCTATATTTACATTCGCAGTTTAATATAGTAGGATATAGTAGAATTTCGTGTTATACGAAACCTAAAGCGCAAAAAGTTAAAACTCAATAGAAAAGTTTTTCTGATATAACAGAAGATGATATGCATTTTATTTCGTTTTAGAACAATAAAAACGTAAAGTTTTTTCATTATATAAACTGAATAATTAATCATTTTTAATCGCGTTATACGGGGACTGTAGCGCATCGCCTTACAGGAGTACTGCATTATACTGGGTCCTACAGTAATTTGCTTGTGAAAAATTCCTGGGGAGATTCAGTATTGAGAATCCTGGGATATGTGAGTGTTTAGCAGTGTCTAAGAAATGTAATTATTACTCGATCAGACTGGACTGAGACTTATTTGAAATCATTATCCGATAAAAAACATATTTTAATTAATGTCATTTCTTTTAGATTTAATCTTTCTTTTGATACAGTGGATATTTTTAAAATCACTTACCTACGAATTTACTGTTTATTTAATTGGAGTACTTGGAAAAGTGAATTTGTGTAGATCAAAATAACTATTGTAAATATGACAGGCTACACGTGTATTAAAGATAAATTTTATATTATAATCATTGAAGTTATTTATTTAATAAGTAAATAATCTATTCTTCTTAGGTTATGTAAAAAAATACAGTGATATCTGAAGTAATTCCTCATTTTAAATATTATTTCTTATTTTAGATAGTTTAGTTTATTCTTATTCGGTTTGTATTTATACAATTAGTTTCAGTTTATATTAGTTTCCTCCTATGGCAACAAAAGTCAGAAATTAGATTAACTAACAATATTTGAACACATATCACACGTTCCCCAATGTCAAGAAGGTACTTTGATACCAAACTGTTTATAAATCATTTATAGAAAGTTTTACACATCCACTATGGCTAAAAAAAATGTGAAAAGAAGTTTTGATAAAACTACAGAGTATTAGCACTGAGAACGTTTCTAATCCGTCCATCTCGAAATTGTAGCATGACTAAATAATATTAAATCAAGAGATTATTCAGTATTCTCAAATTCCCGTTTTACGTAGTAAGATTCAGAAGCTTCCTGTCTAATCTTGATTTACTGGTGAACATTTTTTAAAATTTATTATTTCACAATGTATAACGTTCCCAAATTTGAATGTCAGCGTATCGAAACTTTCGAACGTTACTACTTCGGTCAGGACAAATTTTTTTGAAATCCTTAGGAATGCTAATGGTAGTGTGAATCCTTTTGTCAAGCAGCCGTTCACGAAACGTATGTATGAAAAGATGTTTCATAATAATTGGACTGTTCACCGGCCGAATCATGGCGCGGGCACATTCGGCGAGTTCGTTGCACCACGGCTGTCCGTTGCAACATTTTATAATTACGCCGTGGCCACGCCACCGTTACGTTCTGCAGAGTCCCGGCGCAAAAATAGACGATATCATTGGGGGACATTCGACACACCGCGCTGGCGGGAATTAGCCAATTGCCGATCTACACAAATACGATCATTTTTCTCGGCACGAACCGAAGCGAAACGACGAGCGCGCGAGTCCTTCGACCGACCGACCGGCAACGTCCCGCGACGCAAGGACCCATCAAGGACGTTCTATTCCGTCGTTTAACGCATATTTAATTACAGTTACACTTCGATTGTGCGCCGGTCTTTTAACCAGGACAATTCCGATGATTCATGTTTTAAAAAAACTGATATATTGAATGTTTTGTACAGTAAATAAAAATTTTTAGGTTATACCATAAAAGTTTCTATTATCTGGCCAATATACAGGGTGAAAACAAAAAAGGGTTCAGAACTTCTAAGGGAGACAAGGCACGCTAAATGATGAAAAGAAGGCCTAAGGTCGAAAAATGAATATTTTCGAAATTATAAACAATTTGTTGTTTCGGTTAAAGCAAGTGATTTTCTCGATTCGGGAGTTATCGTACCGTATAGAAACAATGGATTACCTTATCATTTCTTCTGTTTCTGGTTACAAAAGGTTTTTTACAGTTTGTATTAGTTTTTTACAATTTTCTTTACCACTTTAACCGAAATAAAAAATTGTAACTTTGAAAATATTAATTTTTCGACCCATGTTTATTAGGATTTTGTTTCATGGTTTGGCGAGTACTACTATCTACCCTGGAAGTTATGAACCTTTTTGGGTTTTCTCCCTGTATAAATGATTTTGATTTTCATCGTTAACATGTCGAATGCACACATCTGAAAAGTACACATGGGGTACAAATGATCCTAGGTTATTTAAAACTCAAAATGTCTTCTAAACTATGGACTTTTCGGAAAAAGTTGTAGAAATATTTTTTTATGTTTAATGTTTGTATTCCCGGGTAGAATTAATTTTATCACTTGAGATTAAAGAAAAAATAAATTAAAGTAATACAAGAGAGGTTTAAAGTGAGGATGTTTTCAAAAATCTAGGTTCAAGTCAAATTTGGGACTGGAATCTTTTATCCCCCCCGATGCACTCGAAGTGTTAATATTTGTGCTGAATTAACACATTCAAATATAAATTTCGAGTAACTGCTGACAATGATTACTCAACCTTCCATTGTCTGACGAGGTAATATACTATAAAACATGTAAAGGTTTACTTATTGTTACAAGAAACATAAAAATATAGAATAGAAGTGACTAGACCATTTACAGAAGCATTTCTCATTTCTCGTGTATACAATGTGGTAATCTAATGAATTTTTTAATAAAGAAATTAAACCACATTTCTGCGAATCACTCTATAAAAATGTGAATTTCCATAAACTTTCACAGTCATGCTTACTAATTTCATGTCCCAATCCGTTGTCAAAATTCAATAAAATCAGACACGGAGGAAAGTGATGCCTTTCTGCGAATAGCTCGTAGAATAGAATCTTGAAGTGTCCCTCGATGACTGTTAATTCCTATACAGTGATGTGAAATCATAATTCAATAAATCCACACGTAGAGTGGAATGATGTCTTTTTCCCACGAGCAGAATCCTTACGTGCTCGTCGGTGTGCCCGTTTTCAGACCTCGTGTTTCGTGTCCGAGTAAAAGTCCCCGATGAACGGCGTGTAACGCTGTAAATATTAGATTATTGTATATACAATTATAGGTTTATTGGTAACACTTGATATTGCATTAAGCTTTAAACAAATTGTAATGATCAAACAAAGGTTAGCTATGTTTTTGAATGAAATGTAAATAAGTATAGTAAAACTTGGATTAATACCCGAAAATTGGGACTGGATTCGGGATGATTAAGTTAAGAAATAGAAGAATCCTACCAGTGAATGAACATTACATATAAAACCGAGTAAATTAGGTTATTAAAATAAGCAAATGATTAAATATTGACTTGTTTCAACTCCTTGTTTCATATTCAAACAATTTCCGCGCCATTGGTTATAAATGTTTATTTACATAACATTGTTCGTTCATTGGTGAAATCTCTATTTCTTGAAAATTTAATTAATCATATTATTCCATTTTTTTAAATTAAATCTAGTTACGTTATTAGAAGGTATAGATATTAACAAATCTACTTTTCATGTGTTAAATATTTATTAATATTATTATCATTTAAAATTCGACTTTAATAGTTACAAAATTCATTGGTTCGTTTACCCTATTCCATTGTTACTCAAAACTCCAACTCTTGAAAGAACATTTTTAAATTTACACTGAATAATTTTTGTCAGAGCATTGATACTTCGATAGAAGCCTGCAAGAAACGTTATAAGGCTGAATCTTGAGTTTGGCTTGAAGTTTTCATCTAAATTAGATTCTGTCAAGAATAAACAAGGATTCGAATACTTCTGAAGTGCAATATATCGTATCTATAATATTGTAATAAAATATCTTAATATTTACCGTTCAATCCTGTTGTCATGTTGTCGCATGAATTTCGCGAATCTGTGAATGGAATCACAAGCGGTGGTCACAAGGGAAAAAATCATATTCCACATGACCATATTAAGCGTATCGCGTTTTCTTTTCGTCGAATCCTCGATCATACCTTCACTAATGCCGCCGCGTTGGATTTAGGTCGAGGAAGTCACGAGTGGTGCGAGTTTGACACAATTTCCTCTATTCGTCCGTCGAATGTCAAGGTGTAGGTCCCCGTCGTTGGGGCTCGTACACCGCGTGCGTGCCTATTCAGCGCCTTAAAATGCCCGAAATTCTAAGCACGACCGTTAGGCTAACGTTTAACTGTATAATCATGGCGCAACCTGTACGAAAAACCTCTCTCCTTCCCTTGCCCTCTTGGCGGTCGCCCTTTCTCTGACGTTCCGTGAATTCATGCGCGCGGGATTACCCGAACGGTGATTTTGATCGACGTTGTACTCCTTACGGCGTCATTTGAACAATAAGTTGGGCCCATGGTATTTAACGAATAAACTAATATTGATTAGAAGATGTATTGAAGAAAATATTTTGGTGAGAATAGACTAATAAGATGCGTTAATGGTACTAAATAAAAAGTTATATTGATTAGAAAATTTACAATTTTGTACCTTATATTAAATTAATAATAGATTGTAGATATTTTCTCCTGAGTTCATATCTTCCAGAATCAACGAAGGAATACTTTTTCAGAATCTAAATAGAAACATGTCAAACTTAGTTAATTACTTTAATATTATGCATGTATTTTTTTCGTAAAGAACATAATTACATTTGTTTGTAACAAAAAGAATTTCTTTAACCGTTAACAATTTTCTTCACAGATAATCCAACAAACATCATCTAATCATACCTGAAACAAGACCTGGTGAAGTATTCAATAATAATAAAGGTATATCTCCCTGAAAGTGTTCCAAAAGTCCAATTATTTTTCTAATTATATTACCACCTAATAATATTATATTACATCAAATAAGTAGGTAACGCAAGCTAAATACTATTTTAAATGGGAAATATGCACACAATCCTTCAGAGACGGATTTTGTTGTCGTCATCACAGATAAATTTCGAAAAAAGCAGTTGCATCTGGTACGTATTTTGAAATTCTTCGTTAAACATTTCCGACAGATTTTACTATCGAAGCGCGAGGGGGATAGTAACGATGTCACGATTTCGCACGATCTCCTTTTTTTTTGTTTCGTTTTAGAACGACGGCCGATGGAAAAAGAGTGCGTGGCCATTGGTGTGTGTCGAAGCATAACACGCTACAGCCCCCGGTGGCATTACTACTTCGTCACGCTCGTGTATTTTTCCGAAACCTTATTCTTAATACATACGAGCGGCTGTTTCGCGGCGAGGAAGGACCGTCGACCGTAGAAAAATTAACGACGTCTTATCCGCGTAATTAATTAACGTACCGAGAATAAATTCATACGACGAATGTTATCCAATCCCGGTCTAGAAAAATGCTAGAGCGAATGCACGGCAAATCGGCACAACGGCAAAACAATCGGGCGAACATGTTTTCCTGTAAAACAACGGTCAGTTCCACGAAGATGGAATTAACACACGTTTACTTCCAGCATTTTTTTGGTGACTTATCCGATCGTGGGACTCGCAATACGAGGGGTCCAGTGCAAGAGGGAGCCTATGCCACGAAATGTTGATTCATTCTGGCAGCTCTTGATGTCTAGTTGTTATTCCTTAAATTATACCTAGGTCGCAAAAATTCCTAATAATACCTATATTATATATTGTATTTATATACAATCGTAGTATACTATGATGTACACTATTTTTCATAAATGTCTTAACTCATTCGGATCCAATGTTGCGTTGACGCAACATTTCACTCGCAATTTTTTTTTTCAGTGATTTGCATCATTCAATTCTGTTTCTTATAGTGCAGTTATGAAAGAAGATATCAAAGACTTGCTTAATATTTTTTTCGTCACTATTTCTTTTTCCATTTAGATCCTACGACGTTTTGAAATAAAAGAAATATATTTATAGCTGTATGTGATGAACCAATTTTATTTTAAATCATGGACATTTTTTTGTGTATCTTTCTCGTGTGGTGGGCTTCTATAATATGGTGTCTAGATAATATAGTGTCTAAATAATATGTAAGTTGTTTTATTTACGTTTTTCAATTTATTACCCAAAGTTGCATAAACGCAACATTTTGTTACACAAAAGCTATCGATTCAAAAAAATTTCCAATAGCATTTATATTCTTTCTTATTACTTTTATACGTTATAAACAATTATAGATATAAAAATTGTTTTATTTCATAGCTCCTTTTTGCACTGAACATTTTAATTGATAGCATGTGCCCGTTTTCGTACCGGTGTGTCATAACATAATTATTATTTATTTATGTATTATGTATGATTATATATACGTATTCATGGCGCAAGTAAATATGGAAAATATAATCAAATAATTATTTTACTAAGATTTTAAGAAACGTTGATATAATCTCTATATTAATACTAGAAATACCAAAGCAGTCAAAATAAGTATACTCCCAAAACGACGATTGCAACGTTATAATAATACATTTTTTCAGAACTTTCACAACTTTTATTACGATATGAAAATGAAAAAATCAGTTGATTCATTTTGTATATTTTCAAAAGTTTGTCATATTTATCAACCAATAGAAATAAATACACGTTTGTCGTCGGTAGTTTCAGTGTTATTATAACCTTCAAAACAGAAATAAGGAAAAATTTCCTTGATGTAAAATTGATTTGTTATTAATGAAACAAGTCGTATCTGAAGTGGTATTTAACTTGAACGAAGATATATTACAAATTGCTAAAACATATTTTAACAAAGAAAACCTTAAATAACACTAATATAGAATCGAGTTAGGTTTCGTCGTCAGAACATTCGGTAGATGGTCTATTCTTATTTCCGTGGGACGTATAAATTAAATCGGGTAGGCATCCCTTTCGTCAGTTTTCCTAAGTCCTCGCAGCAGACCGACTGTCGGGCAATATTTCGGTGAAACTCGGTTCCGCTATTTACGGGACAAAAGGCAAGGCGGACGCGGAAGCGGCGCGTTGAAGAATTGCGGTGTAACAAGAGGGTTGAAAGAACGCTCCTCTTTCGACTTCCTGGTTCACCTGAGGCCGCACCCCCCGCGGCTACGGCAGATCTCCACGATCGAGAACACCCCCTGGCCGCAAGAACTACACAAATTCTGTCCGTCAATTCTGTGCAGTAAACAACATTGTCCTGCGGACCAGGTAAACGGTGGGGGCTCCATGGACTACCGTGCACCCGAATTTCGCAACCGAATCGAATTTAAAGGTGACACCGTTCACGGAAGCTTCGTGGCAACCACGCTTTAAAATGCTTAGCTGCAATTCCGTCTTCGGAATTCAATGCATGCTCGAGGTGATCGTAACGTTACCGAAATGTGGCGGGAATAGCGTAGTATTTTGAACATATTCGGTTTTTGGTCTAATTTTTAAACGGTTAGTTTTCTAGGTTTCCGATTCGTTGGCATTACGTATTCCTGTTTGAGACGTTTGCGTTTGATGCGAAGAATAATTGGAACTATTTACAATGTTACGATAGTGAACTTAGTGAGAAAACTTTTGTGTTACGTATTGATACCGTATAATGCACGAAACCAAATATTTAAACGATAATTTTCAGCATTTTTAACAGTATTTAACATTCGATTCGACCCATCAGAATTAGTCTTCAAATACAATTTCCAACAATTCTAACTTACAAACTATGATACGCTGCCAATTGGAATTGAATATAATTTAACGCAATTATAATAATATTAGGTGTACCAGTAAATAATCCACTATTGTGCTTTAATTATGAAGCGCCATATTTTAAGATCAACGTCGAATCTTGAAAAACCATTATTAATATAAGTGAAACAGTGTACATCCTTGACTTTTACAGAAACGAGTAGGTGCTAATTTGGCAAAGAAATAGTGAATTATTTATCGGTATATCTAATAATTATAATAATTATTCCATTTACAGTATATTGATAGACAAAATTAAACACAGAAAAATATAAGTTATTTATTTTATTTATTTCACACGTTTTAACATAATACATTAGGTTGTTCGGAAAGTTCGTATCGCTTTTAAGGGTGGATTTACAATCTATATTTTTTAATTCATTCTTATCTACAATGCTTCTATAATTTCTTTCCATTCTTTAATTAACGTCATTGTACCAGTTATACACAGAAAAAAATGGAATTTTGTTATTGAAGTTTTTCCTTAATACATATCTAGTTATCCAAAGAAATAATCATCTGATAGGGCAAAGTCTAATTAACTGGGTAGATACTATAATAATTTCCAGTCGAAGTAAAGTAATTTTTTTACAAGTTTGATAGAACGTAGGTAATGAAAATAGTTTTCGTGTTTGTTCATACGATTCGTCGGTATTTCTCACAGAAAATTAAAAAAAACGACGAGTAACTAATACAGTAGACACATTCAAACCATACCTGAAAAATAATATACCTGCTCACCAGATCAAACGATTTTTTCCTTCATTCAGTAAAAAGGTAACGAAGACACTGTCCGCGAAACGCTACGAATTTTCCGAACAATTCAATATTTCTATTCTTTCATGATTTCAAGAGAAAGAATTAAGAATTTTTAGAGTCAGAGTAATAAATAACTTTATATATTTGAACACTAGAACTATCGACGATAAACGTATACATACTTATCTATTTCTATTAGATCGATAAATGACAAATTGTTTAGAATATTCAAATTTATAGATTAAACTAAGTTTTTTAGTTATCTTATTTTGCAAAAAAAAACTAATTTCTTCATTTTAATATTGCAACGAAAGTTGTAAGAGATCTAGGAAAATGCATTCTTGTAACATTTTAATTATCGTTATAAAAATGTACTAACCAGTCATTTTGACTGCTTCGGTAGTGCTAATGTTAAAAATATTATTACATTTATCTTTCTGAAAAGAAATACTAAAAAACACACTTCCTGCTGTTTGATGTAAAGAAATTTAAGGGATGTAAAGTGTATCATTTTATCCCTTGTAACAGATACTTTGATCTTGCAGCTTACCGGTTGGCGGCAGCCATACCAGCGTTCGTCACAGTTCTCAGACCGGCTTAACCGGCCCAACTCAACGAATCGCCTAGACAGAGAAGCGAATCCTCTTCACTTTTACCGCGAAACACACTGAAAAGCGCGAGCTGCTCGAACCATTTTTCGCGTGCACCTACGAGATCGCCTGGATCGTATGCGTGAGCTCGTAACGTGGCAACACGACAGGTGAGCTTGTGGAACGTGTGGAGGACGCACACACCACGCAAATATTGAATTATGGAACTGAAAGGAGAAATTGTGAATTTACATCGAAATTCGTTGGGTTTGCAAACAAACCACTGTCGTTGAGACTCTCAATTATAATCGTTCAGGTCTAGTTTTTCGTTGGAATACTGAGAAATTTATAAATAGTTGGTTTTCTAATATTATTTAGGCAGTTTTTTTTTTAAAGAAAGACATATTTTAGACATTTATATCATAGATGCTTAAAGTCGTGATCATATTATTTATGTTTTACGTGTGTCCTGTTACTTAGTAAATTTACACAGAATTCATTTCTGAGACATAAATACTACATGTATACGTACAATACACAATGAATTAATACATATTTACTATAACTAATATATTATATTAAAGTAATATTACACGTTTATAATAAATTATATTTATAATATTGATATTATAAATATACATATTATTTATTTTGTATAATAAAAATGTGTATGTATATTTACGGAAAATAATGGCATCAACCTAAGAACTATAGGTATTCAATTTTTACACAATTCTATTATAGTTAAAACAAATCCTTAAAGAGACAAATTATTAACATAATTTTATAATTATATTATTATTTTGATAGATACAGTTATTTTAAAAATTACCATATGAACAATAAGTTACCGAAGGTGAATGATATTAAAATATTTGCTACAGGTGCGAATGCCTGCTGTATGATGCGTCAATATGTTGACTCGAACGTCTGATACCGTACTTATCATCATCCTAATTCTACACCTTGGTTCGTTGTTTTGCTTTCTCTTTCGGGAGTGGCATGCTCTAGTTCACCTGGCCACGAAACCGTCCATCCGTCAGTACGGTACGTCCTCCGCTTCTTATTTCTCTACTTCAATTTTGTGCGATTCACTTGCCAAGTATATCGATTCGTTTCAGAACCTGACTATGAATAAAAAATTCGTAGATATGAGTATACCTATTCAAAGAATACGAAACAAGATATTGGAACATCTAACTGATAACAATTTTTTCCATAATGGGGTGGTAGAATTTTTGCAAAGATAAAAAATACGATATAACATTTACAATCGAGCAATTTTCGTCTAATAAATGTTTATATTCCACAGATTTCTAGGGGTTTACTTTTAGCTAATTAATATAGTCAGCTAATTTAGAAGAGAGGGTTTTCTACGCCTAAAATTATTTATTAATAGATATATAAAATTATATGACCAATATTCTTAGTGCTTTGCAAGATTTTGTACAGTTAGAATACCCACTTTGGGTCAATAAATGTCATTCTTGGTATACAGGTTAGGATATTTTTAGTTCTAAAGTGATTTAAAATGGAAGCTATACTGAAATCAAATACTTGCAGAACATTTCAAAAAATTGAAAAATATAATAAGGAAGGGTACCGTGGAATAAAACACAGTGGCTATCCCAAAAGCAACAAATATATACTTTTTACTATTACTATGAGTGTATACAAGATTATATAAATTGTTAAAAATATACATGCAGATAAACTTTATAAATGGATACAACAATACACAAAATATTATAACATACGTGTCCAAAAATAATGCTTTTCTTATTATTGTATCCCGTAAAAAAAACTAGTTTCCTTTCCTTAATATGAACACATGTTCCATCAATATTCGTATACAAGTAACAATATGCAATAAAATATTTTCTTACACCATTATACATTAATTATAAATATCTCTGACAGTACTTTAGTGCCCTATTTTGTGCAAGCAAGTTTGTAACATGAATACTAATAATAACAAAAACCAAGGGGAAATGAATTCACTAGTTTCAAATTCAGGTACAATTACATGGTCTTTGATCGAACCAGTATATACGAGTATATACCTAACTCGCGGTTATTGAACGTTTAAATATTCTTAAAGGATTCGGCGAATTCAAACTATTCAGTCTTAACCAACAACGGTATGAGATTACTTTGTCTAGAGAAAATGCATCGTTTAAATACAAAACGTTTCAGGAATAATATTTCTTTATTTCGGCGAGCAATGGCGTCTCTGTTAATTCGCTTATCTCGACGAATCTCTTGTTTCCCCTGCTAAAATAGTAAATATCACCGGTGTAGATGTCGAACCAGAGGGCGTGAATGTGCAAATCATGCCTCTCCAGACGTTTCTTCAAAAATCCATAGGACGCTACATTTTGCAATTGTTGTAAAGTATTTACCTGAAATGAAAATATATAAGAATAGTATTTAGAACAAGTTACAATACACGTACAATAGTCCTCGTAGATGAATCTACGTATTTAGATTGATAGATTCCTTAAACAAATCTACTACAAAACTGACATTTTTTATCTTCGTATATTCTTCTTAACAAGAATAACAACTTTAAAAAGAACTATATCGCAAAAGTCTGTTAAAATTTTGATCAATCAGATAAAAAAAAGGAGTTGAGAAATTACACCACCACATTGCTCCTTGTTACTACACCAGTACAGTCGCGGATGTACGGCGTGCTGCATTTACAAGGGGCAACTGCACATAACCCAAAGGTTGAGTGAAAAAGGGAAAAAGCTTGTTGCATTCAGCGCTGATTAAAAGCAGTCTGATTGATTAAAATTCGAGCAATATTTTGTACAAAAAGTGTACACTGGGAAAATATAATTTCTTTTGAAATTTCTATTTTCCTATGGAGTAAAGAATATTAAAGTAAAAAAAGTCATCCCTGCATTTTCACATATTGTTAAATTCTGGAAATTTTTTCTTAGAAATCTCCATTAAAAGGATTATATTTTTAATTCGACTAACTTGAGACAATTTGTCCTCTATAGAGAATTTGTTTTCGGGATCGATGTAGGCTACGAACTTCCGTAACGGTGTCTCAGCTTGAAAAAGTATTGGCTGGTGGAAGCCAGTAATTTCGAGCTGTTGAAACTTCGCTAAACTGCTGCTAGCGTGAGCACACAACCATGCTCTTAACGGTGATATCCTTCTATTCACCTAGAACATAGAATATAAATTTATAGGCCCAAACAGCCTGCACTCTTAGCGTAATTAGAGTTATCAGAAACGGAACGCCTGAATATCTCCTCAAACACTTTAGAACTCAGAATTTTCTTAACCTATACAATGTTTCGAATTTTGTAATTTCAAAGTTTGATTTTTGTTTCTAAAGACTGATCATATGAAGAGTAATATTTGCCAGAAAAAGAACAATTTCAAAATACGTAAGTAATATCAAGTTTTCAGGACAATCCAGTAAGGCTCAGTAAGGTATCGAGAAGAGTTGTTACGAGGAGGCCGCATAAAAATGGGTGGATCTGTAATATTTGCCAGTGAATCTCAAAGTGGCCTAATTGTAAATCACATTTTGACATAACTTTATTTTGAAATATTTCAATTGTGAAATATTGAATACGCATTGAATTTTGTATTGATGACGCAATTATCAACGCCATTACGCGATTCAATTCTCATCTCTCTTCTAGAGATGGTTCCATATTATTGTAACATTCATCGATAGAATACAAAATAAGCCACGTACTCAATTTTTTCGAATCATTGACTCAGAGATCACTTTGAACAGTATTCAAAATGGTACAGTCGCATAGAGGACTAGGTGTGTCCTGTTCCTCACCTTCGACGCAAATTCCTCGTCCCGTAAAGCGTACAGCAAATTCATAGCTTTGCAGTCGCTATGTCCACAAACTATAACATGCTTTATGCTATTTACCACGCAGCCGAGTTCTAAGGCCGCCGGCTCGCACATTGTCAGTTCGTCGACAAAATGCTGAGAGTGAGGAACAACGTTACCAGCATTTCTAACTGAAAAACAATAAAAGTAAACTGCATACTGTTTACCAAAAGATGATGGGTCGCAGAAATTGCGATGACATACGTAAAAGCTTATTTCATAGGGTGTCTCACGTGAGTGTCACGGATTGTTTTCTCGAAAACTGATAGGCCGCGACAGAAGCTCAATCCTCTTTTCAGTCATTTAGTTTTAGAACACCTTAAACACTATTAAACCATTTACTAAACTCGACTATAGACAATCGTGTATACTATGAAAATACATAATATCCTCAATCCGTATAGTGTTATATAGTTATAATAGTCTAATCATAACAACTTTTGAGTTAATGTATGCTTCTTAAAAATGTACCATTTAATAATTTTTTAACATTTATCGATTTTTTAATAGATTTTAGTCAAAAAAATAAATAACAACAATCGAATTTGGAAATAACCTGAAATATAATTAGAATTCTCAAGATCGCCAAGATGCATAATCACATGTTTTTTTATATGTAGTCAGCATTCTAAAGTCAGTAAAAAGTTGACAAATACATATTAACTTCAAGCATATCATTACAAATTATTCAAGTTTAACAACTGCTTTGAATCTTGCAATGCCTGGTTTTCTCAATAATGAATATTCTCGGCTCATATGTATAAATCCTATATGAAAAAGACTTTCGTTCCTACTCCTAAAAGTTTTCCAGAAATCAACTAATAAAACTGTATGTTAGACACCTTGTACACAGAGTGACCGATAAATTCGTTGCAACCATGGAGATGATTTTACATGCAAAAACGAATAAAAAACGTGAAATATTATTTTGTCTTTGAGCGTTTTTCGTTTGAGAAAACCGACTTTCAATATTTGCTTAGTATCGTCTGGTATCGTGTACTCCAGTACTATGTAATTCGTATACATACTTATACGTTAGCAAGTTGGGTTAACAATAATTTAATTTCTGTTAATATTTATAAACATTCATAGTAATATATCACTTATTCTCCATAATGATTTTGCATAAATTAATAGACAAATGATAATAAGATCAAAGTAAAAACGCTACTATCTGTGTTTTGTTTATTACGAGTAGAAAGAAAGTAATAGGGAGACACATTAGTCAATCATTTTCAAAACAATGGATATTGCTGAATTTTCAAATTCAAATTTTCTCGAAAACGAAATGACATACAAAAAATTTTATTCCACATTATCAAATTGTTTCTGAAAGCAAAACCTCCTCTTTCTCGGTTGTACCACTTATTATAGAACACCCTGTATATCCTAGGATATTATATTTGCGTATACTGTAAAATATCGTTATTCGATTAGTAAAATGTATTACAGTTTATTTGGAAAAGTTAAGCATTTAAAACATCGGTACTCATTACGATAGCAATAAACCGCATTGCAATAGAAAAATGGCAGAAAATACAGTCTTCACATTTGACCAAATGATATTTTAGTGAAGTCTCCGTACCAACAAACATGTCCCCAACGTTCGTTTCCGTAAATCTAGTTGGGATCATCCGGGAGTCCATGCAGGTAAAGAATACTGCCTTTGGCTGTGATAAGAGTAACGACACAAGTCAATTACGGCAGTAATTATTAACATTGCACGAGTAATATTATGGATACAGACATTTCATTAAGTTGCATTTTATTAATGTATTACAAACATTCAGATTTTTTGTTACTATAAAATATTTATATCGAAAATAAATTACATGTATACTACATAACCTACACACATATTATTAAAACAAAAAAATATTGAAACAATTAATACTCTACATGTTGTTGCTTTGAATTTGAAGTTCCAATCATAACTGGTTTTGGATGAGCACGTATAACTAAATATTTCACACTTTACTCAAAAAAGAAACTTAAATGTATAAGTATAAATAGTGATGAAAATAATGTACACAGATTTAAATGTTTAACTTTAAATACTTGCATTCAATGAACGTTTCTATCTGTTTTATTAACCACATTAGACTTGGTAAATTAATCTTGATTTCGTTAATCCGTTAATGAAACAATCACTGACATACTTATATCTTTAGATATTTTGTTTCTTATCAATCATTTTGTGGTTGAATGGCGTAATATAAGTTTATAATCAAAAGAAATTTATAGCTTTTCTTAAGAATGGTACAAACATTATATAGTATTTATTTTCGAAAAATTGTTTACATATATAAATAGCATTTCATTATCGTAATTATAAAAAACAATAATTGAAAAATTTGCCTTATAAAGAACAATATCTAGGATGGTTGAAAAGTAATACCAATAAAAATACAAGCAAAACAATTCTTACATACCTCAGGATGATCTCGGACTTTTTCAAATTGTTTCACCATTCCTTCTCTGTGGCATTTTCTATATTTCATGATTCCTTTGATAATTCTATCCATAGTTACGTTTAAAGGCACTCCAACTAGACTTTGTCAACATCAGCTGATGAATACATTTATCCGCCATTGCCAAGCGAATGGCGGAAAATTTAAATTTACTTGAAAAGTAGTCAAACCACGCCAATTTTCTACAATCTTGCCTATAAAGTTACAATCTACTGTAATTTATCTCCTATTTGAGTTTATTCTATCATCAACAAATGAATTTTCACACTTCATTTTATTCATACATTTAAAAAATACAGCTTAAATATACATGTTTAAGCGAAAGTTCATATTATTCTGCTATCTTTCCAAATATCGGTGTAAGTATGGATTTAAATAAATTTATACGAATTAAATGTTTGTTCTCTTATGATGAAGAATTGTCCGATATCGAAATATACGATTCATATTATCACTTACATAATACCAGGCATAAAATCACAATGAATTAGTTTAATTATTACCGTAATTGAGTATGATCCTTGTAATTGGTATATTACTATATTAAGTGAATATAATGTAGGAAAATATACATCTTTCAGACAGGCCAGAATAATTGCTGTACAAAAATGGGACATAACACGGAACCCGGAAAATTGCTCACCCAGGGGACCACGCATGATCTAAGAGCCAAGATAGAGAGCATTTTTGAATAACTGAAGAATATGAAATATTCATATGATACGTTATCAGTAACGTAAAATTGTGTGTTCATGGGTGACTTACTCTTTACATTTACCATTAGTCTACATAATTGCGAGAATCTTCGTGTAAACATCTATATAGGTTCTGTATCAGTTGAGCTATAAATGCTATTAATACAAGTCTCTTTAAAATTGTACCATTACTGATGCTCAGTATTTGCATGTCATAATTTACAGATCACTGACAAATTTATCGAGTGTTAATAAATAAAAAAGCCTTGTACAACTGTCTCTCATCCTGGTGATTTCAATCCAAAGTGACTCTTAGATTCAACAATGATTAACAGCTTGGACCCGGGTGACAACGCGCCTGGGTCGAATTGATTTCTATCTACTCAAGGCTGAACTTTGACTAGCACGTTCCAGTTTTTCAAAATGCTTCCGTGCATTACGAATATTGATTAACGTTGCTGCCGATGCTGTAAGAACATAAACATATTTTATTATTTAGTAGACAAAATGTTTAAGTGATGAATACTTACGGATAGCGGGATCCGACATAATCACCATCACATATGTATTCGATGTAAATACATCGATAAATGCTGCAAAATTTGTATTTCTAACTTCCATACTTTGAAACTGTGCTGCCAATTTGCTAAAAGTATTGTTTTGTGAACACAATGTTAAATTAATGTTCATATAATATGCGTTTCGCTGAAACTTACCTGCAACTTAACTTAAATTGCTTTATTATATTAGAAACTTTTTCAAATCGATGGACATCTCTATGATGTTGCCTCTGACAATAACTTATTACCAAAAATGTTGCTCTTTCAAACAAAAGAACTTCATCAGCATCAATAATGTTTGTAAATTGTTTCAAACTTTGTTCAAGTTCTTTCACATTGGGAATCAACATGTATACAATTGAAGACCATGCCCTAAATGTATCATTCATATGAAATCCTAAAATACTATAAATTACAGAAAGTTCAATTATTAAAACATACCTGTACAATGTTTCATCCCATATACTTGTTCTAAAACAAGTACATTCAAGGGGCAAACTAAGTCTCTTTAAGTCCTCTTCTCTCTCTCTAAATATCAAATCACGCTGATCTTCTTGAACCAGATCCATCTTATGTACTAAACAGAATATTTTTGCTTCTGGGCTATTCTGTAATATTGCTTCTAAACAACTTTGATAATAATGCATGTCTTTATCCAACTCTCTCGATTCAACATCAAAAACATAGATCAGAACTTCTACATTCCTAAATATATTGTCACGCTGTGATGCAAAATAATTTTCCATAAATGCTTCTTGACCGCCACAATCCCAAAGGTTTAGCACCAAATTACCAAGAAATCTAACATGACTATGTTCTACATCGACTGCAACAAGTATGAATGAATAAATATTTAACACATAAAAGAGAAACAAAAAAGTTTACTCCTACTCACTTGTTGCTCCAAGACGGCGAGTATCGCGAGCAATATAATTTGCAAAAATAATACTGCGCATACTGGTTTTCCCAGAGCCACTTTTACCCATTAACAGAACCTAGAAAAACACGTGTAAACATTTATTATACACAAACATAATGTATCTATTGAAAAGAAAACAAAGCAAATTTTATGTAATTAAAAATAGGGAAAACTGGACATACTTTCTTCTTCATCTTGAATTAGTAGTTCTAAATACAAAACGTATATAAAATTTAAGCAAGTAATCCTTCCTTTGTAATAACCGACTGATCAACTTTGCCCTGTCTGCAACAAATCATTGAATAATATATGATAGTCGTACTGTTTTTCTTTCATACTGGCAGTACATAGTACACATACGTCAAATGTCAAATTTCATATCGAAGTCACTCCAAACTGTTCAATGAATCACCACTGTAGGTGTAACTTTACAACATATAATTGTAACACCACAGTCTTAACGTGTAGTAATAGCAATAAGATACACGATTAAGAAATGTTTAACTGTACAAAAAGCATTCGTTAATTTAAACGTGGCTGGCAATTCTTTGGTAATAAACTGTAGTAAACAGTGTGATTTTCGATATTAAAGGTATAAGTACATACCTCCTACTTTTTACTACATATACAATTGTGACTACCAAAAGCTAACTTCAGATGTATTGTCACCGACTCCAGCGCCATTGGGAGATAAGATGGCGAAAAGGAATGTTGATAATTGAATTGTATCTACTGGTATGTACTAGTCAAAATAAATGTCCACTCCACTACAACTTGAGAATCATTACCAAAAATGGGAGTTCCTGCTTAGAGTGTGGCATTCAACGATTTATAATGAAAAATATAGAAGCATTGCGAAAACTACGATCATATACAATTTTTTACAATGATACAAAATTGTTTGTTGCTCTGAATTCATATATGATGCATAAACAATTATTATCAGTTGTAACATTTGTAATTATTATTTCATTTTTTCTACATGATTATAAATGAGATCAAGAAGGCCCGGGTGTTATCTATAACAAACAATAACAAACTAAGGTACTACATAGGCAGCACAGACGAGATTCTCGTCTATGATCGGGCCACAGTATTGCATTGTTACACAACATCGTTTCAGAAATACTCAATGACTAATCTAATACCATTGGAAAAAGTATATAATCGTAATTTGTGAACTTTTTTGGCATTTTTTGTTATGTTAGATCTTAGGTGTACAGTAAAAGAATTGATTTCATCCCCAAGTGACAAGTTTTGCACCGTTCGCCCTCTTGTAAATCGGTCGAATATTGAATGCGCGGGCTTCATTAATATCCGTAATTAAATATTTTTGTATTTTCACAAACATATGCTCGTTAAATTTATTTTCATCTCTTTTTATATATATGTATATTTATTCTTAAAAGTATATAAATATTTATTAACTGAAGAAGAAATGTAATAAAGATTTATTTGTTCCGTTATAACATACTGTCATCAAATTTTTTCGAATTGTACAATATTACCGTCTACTTACTCCTGTTAGAATATTTAGAAAATTATGATTCCAGAATTTTCTTTTAATTAATTTGTAATATTTCATTATTACTTATCATCAGTAACATTCGTCATTAATTTTATTTCATTGACACTTTCGCTTTATTATTGGAGTAATGAATGTACATACGTAATTCTGTAAAACTTTTTGTTATTCTGAATGTCATTCTTTCTGTTAACCTTCATTTATTACATAATATTAAAATAATTTTGAGAAACAGTAATTTTGGTTTTGCCATGTGTACACCACAAAAAGGAAAGGCTTATCACAGACTTATGTTAAAAATAGCTTCCGTTTTACCGAAAAAATTGCGACCTCTTTTTTTACATCCTGCAGGTTGGAAAACAATTTTGATAAACAGTTTGTAAAAGCTTTATTTATTCTCAGCAATATATTTATCAATATAGGCCCGACAACTGTATTTTTCTGGGCTCCAACTTTTAAATGGGGCTTAGTAATAGCCGGAATAGGAGATATTCATCGACCGCCGAGCACAATTTCGTTAAGTCAAACAGCAAGTCTTATGATAACTGGTGCTATATGGTCCAGGTATTATACGAAAGAAAAACATTATACATAATAATTTTTCACTAATAAATATATTGATTAATCGACAGATATTCACTGATAATTTCACCAAAGAACTATAACTTATTCAGTGTAAATGCCTTTACAAGTTTAACAGGAGCATATAATTTTGTGCGGGGTTTGTTATACTACAAAGAGCAAGAGTCAAAATAATACTTAAAATGATGGTGATCAAATTTCAGAAAGAGGGAGATTTACAAAAATATTATATACATATTTATTTTAATACATTATTTTACACTGACACTGACTATTCGAATGTCATCATAAGGTTTATCAGTTTTTGGATTCGTTTTCACTTGACTGATATTTTGTACAACCTCCATTCCTTTTATTATCCTGCCAAATACTGTATGCTTATTGTCTAACCAAGGCTGAAAAAATTAATAAAACAACTTTAAACAATGCCGACTTGTTATTAGATGAATAAAGGTTTAAATGTGTACAATGTTGTTAACTTACAGTCGGTGTTAAAGTGATAAAGAACTGGCTGCCGTTCGTGTTTGGCCCCGCATTTGCCATGCTCAAAGTATATGGTCTGTCATGTTTTAAATGGGGTCTAAATTCATCTTCGAATTCACCATCCCATATACTTTCTCCGCCAGTACCAGTACCGGTAGGATCACCGGTTTGAATCATAAATCCTTTAATTACTCTATGGAATATATGTCCATTGTAATAGCCATTTTTTGCATGGACACAGAAATTCTCTACTGTCTTTGGAACATCCTTGCCGAACAAATTCATATGAATGTCTCCAAGCGTTGTGTGAATAATAGCGGTGTCGAATATCTTTTGCATATTGGTCGCTTCTGTAGAAGAAATAATGTCTTCTTTGGATGGTCTTTCGTTGAAAACATCTCTATCGCATTCTTGACTTTTCGTATCTTCTGGCTCTCGTCTTGAGAACATATAGAATCTATTTTTTTTATGAGCTGTGCAGAAAAGTGTGGGATCAGGACGGTTCATTTCCAACGTTGGATTTTCTGAAGCTTCCATTTCTACGGTTACAGCAACTGATTTCCTTGCTTTCCCCTTTATTTTTTTAAGCACATATAGACGTTAATACAATTTCAATCATAATGGTTTATAAATATTGTACAAATTTTGATTTATATAAGTACCTGAAACAGGGCTAATTGCATCGGACGAATGTTTTCAGGTTTTCCCATAATTCTAACACAACGATTTGTATATAAATTTACAATTTTTACACCTAACATTGTGCTATACAAAATCATGTATCCAGATTCGTCAAATACTATATTACCCAAGTTTGTTTCTGTTTTATCCAATTCCCTTTCAACTGCCATTCTGAACATTATATAAGAACATAAGGAATTCATGTTTCAATTTTTCTTTATGTTAAGTTAACTTTGCAACAAATACTATACCTTCGACCAAATTCCATGTTTGGTAACTGTTGTGTCATCTGTTGCAACTCTGAAAATCTTTGTAACGTTTCATCAAACACCCTATACAGTTTTCCAGTACGAAAATTAAAGACTCTGACTTTTCTATCCCCACTGAGAGAAGCAAACTTTTTGCCATCTGGTGATACTGCTAAGCCACATGGATAGGTCTTATTTTTTGCGAATTCAAACAGATCTGTGTCCAGCTTTGATTCAAATGTAACGCATTTAGGAAATCTGTATTCCACTTTAGGTCCTGTCCAATACTCCAAAATGCCTGCTTTATCCACTGAAATACATGTTTCATATACAGGATTGTACTGTAAACAATTAAAACGTGTAAAAAAATGATTGCATGAAGTTCATAAAATACAATGTTTATGTTTAGTTTTCTTACTTTCATAGCAACAACAGGTTTAGTATGTAGTTTTTCAAAGACATGTAGTGGTGTTCCAGTCCCTTGTCCATCGTAAATAAAAATTTGATTTGAATCTTGCACAGAAATTGCTACAGCAGATATTGCATCCCCTGGTGAATATATCCATTCACAGCAGAGAGGTATAAAATCCAGTTTGATCATATTAATCATATCTTAAACAAAGTTTCAATTTATTAGATAATTGAATAGTGTATCATAAAGTCATAGAACATGTTCATACTGAATAGTACTTACCAAAATTAATAACATCAAAAATCTTGATTGTTTTATCTAAACTAACTGTACACGCATGAACACCATTACAGCTAGCTGCCATTGAGTGTATAGCCATTAAATGTGCACGAAAATGTTTCACAAATTCGATGAGCTCTTCTTGTTTCTTCCAAAATTTAACATGTCCGTCGCAACTTGCCGTTATCACAAAATTTGATCTGTGCAAATGTGTACAGATAAATATGACTGTTTCCAAATGTTCTATAAAAAATATTTTATATGTTCTAATATAAAAATACATAGCCATGATTCATACTAACTTCGTCACCAAGATGTGAGTAATTACATCTCTATGCATATATGACTTCTCATAACATTCACAATATGGTAAGTTGTCTATATAAACCTGCTCATATTCCAGAACTGCAAAATTATATAAAACAACATCTTGTTTATAAATAAACTCTTTTTTATATATAAACTTTAATAAAGTACGTATGGTTAAATGTACAGCCGAGTTACTCAAAATGACATAGTATAACCATGCATGCAACTTTCACACAGGAACTAATTTCATAACTATAAAAGAAAATAATAACAAAATTTTATATTAGATATAATTTTGAAGACGTTATAATCAAAAAATGATATTCGACTTTCGTATCTTAAGTTATAGAAAGTACTTTAATTTTCTTAACAAGTGTAGGTTATATGCGAGAACCTTTTAGTTTTTTTTGAGGCGCTGCTTCTGAAGGTAATGGTCCAACCCAATCGTCCTCATTATCACTTTCAGTATGTTCTCTCTTGGAACTTGACATTATTATATAAGCAAAAAAGGTAAAATTTAATGTAAACAATGAAGGACTTGTTTAAAATCTAAACATTGACTACAACTGACTACAACGCCACTCGACTAACTCGTAAGTTACGTAGACTGAACACGTGATACGACCACCGACGAGGTATAGGATAGACCTATCATCTGCTACCATCTTATGGGACTTCGTGTCTCATGTTCTGAAATACCGATAGTGTAAAAAGTCAGGGATTTTCTGCTGCCCTCTACGTTATGAGAACGGTGAATTTGTGAACTACGTTAAATCCATTCGAGCTCAACTAGTCTAACTTCTACAGTGTTGTCGAGTCTAAAATACAATGTTGTCAGATCATGAGTGTTCGGTACGTCGGAAAATCATCAAAGGGACCATGGTCGTGAACGGATTCCCTTTCGTCCGTTCACTGTAAAGTAGACGTATTAGAAAGGAGTCTTGGGTTGTAGTCCCGACGGACCTATTGGTTTTTTTTCGCGTACAAAAAAGTTATTGCGCTTAATAGTGTTTTTATGAATATGTATATATATTATTATGTACATTTGAGTAAATTATTTTATTATTCCATTGTTATTACAACAGTTTAACAGTGACAACGAACGCATGTATATTTTCAAATATCGGACTAACAGTATATTTTTATTCTATATTATTACATATAAGTGAGTAATACGTATCAAAAACGTAATCGAAACACAGCTTTTTATTACATTACAAACATCGCATAAAAGATATTTCGTTATATAGACATTTGTAATAATTATGGATGTTGCGGGGAAATCTATTGACATTATGGAACATGTAACGAAATATCACTGTAACACTTAAAAAAGTTTTAAAGTTCCATTTATATCATTGTCCTGTGAAAATGTTCATACTTCCAGCAACATTCATATTCCAATCAAAGAATTTACAGAATAAGGAAAAGGAATCTAAAGTAATTTTCAGTAGTTCCATACATCTTTATCTCGAATACTTTTCTAAAACATTCAAAGTACTAGACATTTTTACACTTTGAATCTCATATCGATTTCTAAAATAATCCTAGTTCGATATAATATAGAACGTGGTTTTATGAGATAGATTCGAAGTTCGCAGCCATTAGCTCGATATTGTCATCAGTTTACAGTACTTTACCGATGATAATACCGATTGCCCAGGCCTCACCACGAGGAGGTTGCTGCGAGTGGAGGCCCAAGGCAGGTAGATGGAATCACAAGTTCTACATCTTCCCACCTTTCACAATAAACCTTATAAATAACTTAAATCTTAACTATGTAATACTATCGGTACTAAAATCCCTCGGCGGATGACTTCTTTCTTGAGCCTAAACCTATAAAAAACTAAGTTCCCTCGTCGGTTGTCTTCGTTCTTCAGCTTAGAACTAATATTATCTTAATATTCTAATTAATACGAATTAATGCTATTAATACAAAATAACTTAAACTAAACGCAACGTAGTCGCTAATACTCAAACGAAAGAGATAGACGGAATGGAAAAAGTTCCATCGATCATTTCGTTTACGCACCTAATATTCTATATACCAAGCAGTTATTAAGTCTACGATGAACTACGCGTTAAACTACAGTATGAACAAGTATCGCGATGAAAGTGTTGTCGCCAGAACCTGGTTTAAGAAAATAGGAAAGACGGGCGACACCTCGCTAACCCGGATCCATCTTTTACTGTCATGGAGCTTTGGGCTGGTCACCTGCGTACCAGACCCGAACCAAAAGAGTACACAAGCATGGTAGTGCAAGCGAGATTCTCTGTTTAAGGAGCAGCCTCCCGACTACTCCGTACCCTTGCACGCACGAGTCTTTCTCCAAATCCTACTTACCAGGCAAAGACTAAACACGTCCGATATCTGGCTTCTCAATAGAAACCAGAGGGATCGGCAAACAGTCTTAGTGTACAGACCCACTGCCCGTACCATAGGTACAGACCCACTGCCCGTACCCCAAGTCTGTGTAGAGAATCAACGAGCAAAATGAATTAATAATAACTTGGTATGCACAATGGATGGTCACAATTTAAGTCTATTAATAGATAGACTAAAATTAATAATAAACGATGTGATGATGAATATGAATATAACAATGAATATCGAATTATGATTTAAGTTTAACTTACAGTAACTTAACGCAGTGGTAGACGCACGCTTTGAAGATGTAGACGTTGATCGATGTCTTCTTTCGATGGAATAACTGTTTGGAAAAATATTTTTCATTATACAATACACATAAAATACATAATATGCACAGTAAATAAATCACAGTAAATGAATCACAGTACATAAGAAAATAAATGTCAAAGTCAATGGTTCTCGGACATCTGTTACATACAAAGGATTAGTAACAAGAGAAGGGACACAATATGCACAATAAATAAATTAATAATATGCACAGTAAATAAGTCACAGTATAGAAAACACAGTAAATGAATCACAGTACATAAGAAGATAAATATCGAAGCCAATGGTTCTCGAACATCTGTAACATACAAGGGATTAGTAATAAGAGAGGGGACACAACAATATGCACAGTAAATAGATTGATGGTTGTCGAATGCCTGCAACAAACAATGGGTTAGTAACAAGAGAAAGGACGAGTATGAGACGCACGCCCACCCTCCGCGGCGGCTCACGAGAAAGTGAGGAAGCTAACGCCGTTAGCTTCCTCACTAACGCCGTTATGTATTGGGCGTACGCAGGTTTGTTCGTGTTGAATTGTTTTTGCCGACTTGAACGACCTTCCTCCTTGAACGACCCAAACACCGGATGGTACGGCCTGGTACGGCGTACACGGCTAGGTGAATAAACTGTGTGACGCACGTCACTAGCGCGTTGGACCGAAGGAGAGCACCGATACCGCGGCTCGCTCTATCGCTCTCGCTCGCACGCCGTGACGTCACCCGATTCCCGGAATCCCACGGCTACGAGATGGCTCATTACGGTAAGGCATTTCCGCAAGGGAAATTGTAAGCCGCCGGCCAAAAGGTAGATTTAATAAATTATTTATGAATCTACATCTATTCTGAATTTACCTGTTACAAATATACAAATGTAAATCAAGATATAAAAACGAATAAAACAAGAACATGTAAAAAGTAACATTAGTAAAATGTCCACTAACGATGCATTTAGAATAAATTGTCTTGTAGTTAAGTGAAAAATATATACTTTTCCGTTTCATGTTTCATGACTATCATGTTTATCCCTTAACCTTAAACTGAAGCATCGGATATTTTTATTCCCGTCAAATCATACAGATACACGTAATATGAATGGAATATATAACACTTCATTTGTGCTAATAATACTCAGAATTCATGCTTTATCGGTAACGTCGGGTATTGACACTAAAATGGTAACAGGGCTACGTAGCTGTACGTAGCCCTATGAACGTGGGACAGAAAAAAGCATTGGATGATAGGTCTATTCTATACCTAGTCGGTGATACGGCCATGTTTTTCATGATGTTTGCGATTCGAAAATGTTTCACTCTTACAAATTTCACACTGTCCATCATGTCTTTTTTATGATTTGAATAAATAAAACATTGAAAATTCTTTGTGAAATGGCGTACATACTTTTAAATAATTAACAAACAAATTCTAGTGAATGCTCCACATATTAAGACGTAATATAATATTCAAAAACTTCAAAATTCAACATGAATTGCGGCGCCAGCAGGGGAGCAAAACCATGCTGGAATGATATGGAAGAACTGAAATATTTAATTTGTGCTATCGAGTGTTGGTATGGTCAATTTTTCCATAACTCTTATTGTATATATTTTACATAATAATAACTAGATTGTGGATTCTACACATTTACATTTCCTGTCATAAATACCAGTACATGTATACGAAATAAATACTTCTTCGATTCTAGTATTTTTTAAACGGACGACAAAAATGAGAATTTATTTACATTTACATATTTAATTATATTTTCGTCTACATTTTCTTACAAAAGTGTATCAATTTTATGCAAACTTCAACATGTAGACATTAATTTGGTAAAAGTCGAGAAATAAAACGAAAATTTGATTAAATTATCATTAAAGATTTTATTTTGTTTTAGGCAGTTGTATATTTTACTCATACTATTTTCTCTTTTTCTATCTCACACTTGCAGTTGCATTTTATTTTGCATTTTACTTTCGTATAAAAGTTCGTTGTTCTCTACAATTTCTCGTTACTAATTGTAAGTAACGCGATTATAGAGGAAATACTGTGTTTAAATAGTACAGAAATACATTGTATTAAAATAATTTTTATAGACAACTGTATATAAATAATATTTTTTCTAGTCAATGCCCGAAAATACCGCCACCACCGGTATGTACGATTCTATTGCCACCGAGAATTGAGGAATTACCAGCTTATATACCCCCTCCAGCCCCTTGTTGTCCACCACCTCCATGTTGTGTGCCTCCTATGGCACCTGGTCCTTGTTGTGTCGGTCCTTTACCTGCACCACCACCTCCAAGATGTCCTCCACCACCACCTCCACCAAAGCCCTGCTGTCCACCGTGTTCTCCACTACCCTGTTATCCAAGTAAGTCTATCTAGAGCAGCGCTGTTCAGCCCAGCATTGCCAGAGAATGTTCGACCGCGTAAGGGCCAGTTGATGTCACATGGAGCTACACATATACATATACTAATACCACAGACGAGATATAAGAATAGACCTAACATCTTATGGGACTTGCAGTCCCACGAAAATCACGCTGGTTCGAACGCACGGACATAGGAACTACGTTCGACACCTTAATGACGCACAGCACACACATACACACCCGTGACTGCATATAGCGGTACATACATCATTATTGCCCAGGTTTCGCTAGCAAGGAAATATGGAATACTGAAATGGTACGGGGGCTTGTGACGCCCCCGAAGCAAGGGACAAAGATTACAGTACATGTTAGGTCTATTCTTATATCTCGTCTGTGCTAATACCACTTGTGCACACCATGCTAGTACTACAAACGAAAGAAAGCGTGACGTCGCGTTCCCAACACAAATATACTACCTCTACTACTACCTACTACGTCTCTTTGTCCCTGTACCACAGTTTATCCCATAAGCATATATGTATACAGTAAAGTCGCTTTAACTACGCGAAGGGTCTCCACGTTAACTTTCCACATATCGTCTTACCACTGGGTGGATCCCTTTCAAGCAAGGCAACTTCTCAGTTAGCCAAACCTGCAAAGCCGAGTTTTTTCCAATGCCTGTTATAAGGTTATGGCTAAACGTTTGATGAAGGTTTCCTTGTAACGATTTGCGTGCATATTGGTAGCAATATAGGTAGTAAATTGGCTCGCGTATACTCTGTTCTGTTTTTGCCCCCCATTCGATACAGGTTATGTTGCAAGACTTACTGCCAATTTGCTGTACCATTTTGTCAGCAGGCGTTGCTTGCAAAACCCAAGCCAAATGCGGAAACAGATGGCTGCCTTTTTTTAAACAACTTTTGTCATTATTTGCTGGCAATTTACTCGAAACTTGTACACAACTGGTTATCAGGGTTATTCCGCCGGCGGCAAAAAAGATTACACGCCAATGTGTCGGTAAGACTAATGCAACTTTCGGCTGCCTGGACTCTTAGCTTTTCTTTCTTCCTCATTTGCTGTACTTTTCTATGACGCCGCATTACATTGTATTTACAAAGCTGCCGATGTTGGGCTCGAAATTTAGAAGGGGTTGAGATGGTAATCGTCCACGCTTACTGCGCGCATGCAGTCCCGAGGTTTGCGCAGTTAAGGCGACTTTACTGTAATATGTATTATTGTGATGTTTGAATCACGTAACTCTCTTTCAGCTATTTTTCATAACTTCAGCAATAATTATTGTGATGTTCATAATTGGTAGGACATGCTGTATAATAATTTTAACGCAAGGGTTGTAAGTTATAAATAATCTATATAATTTGATGTTTTATAGATCCGTATTGTTAGATGCTTTTAATGCCAGGGATACATCGAAGATCATTATAAATATTGTAAGTTGCATGTGATTGTTTAAAAAGAAATTTGATAGTAATATTTAATTAACTAATCATACAGTTGACTAATTATTATTAGTATTAACATTCGATTTAGATCTGTCCCTCTGGTTACGTGTGTATACAGTACTAAATTGGAATAATATGTGCTCACCAGATGCAGTTGTTTTTAATTTTTGATACTCGTTACATTAATAAAATGTTTGATACGTATTAAAAATAGTAAAAGTATAATTATTGTCATTTTTGAGTTATATATAATATTGTACTTACTACATTACAATAATATATTATGCTATTCAGCATGAATATTGTTCAATTCACATGTTTTTAATAAATATATTTAATTTGGTATCTACTGTTTTGAATAGTTTGTGTTACTGATTTTTCATTGTTGCATAGCAAAATGATTAAAAATGGCGTGGAAATAAAAAAAATAATACAAAGGGTTTTGCAATACAGTTTCTACGTAAATTTTACTGTCCCTGAGATTTAGAAACGCGCTTCAGAATTCGAAAATTAAGTTCTTATATTTCAAAAACGAAATGTAAATATAAATATTAATGTGACCCTTGATTCAAAATTTCTTTTTACGAAATTCTGTGCACATTGAATGTTCACGGGGTGGGCCGAATAAAAGACGATCAATTTATTTTACACAAGTAGTTTATTCGGATTTGATACGGTCCCTTGAGTCGAAGCTTAAAATAACACTTACGCCTTAATGCATCCATCTTTTAATCGCTTAGAACCAAATCTACCTCGGACAAACTTGATCGATTTTTTCATACAATTCAAAGAGTCGAATGTCTAATATTTTATAATTAAAGCTTGATGCTCTTCGTGGAAAAGAACAATAAGATGGTCGAGTTATCCGAAAGGCCGGTGAAACGATACTTATAAATAATCTGCGATTAATTACCAACAAACACACCGATTATGTTCCGTTGTATGTCTTTTTCAAAATAGAAATTTCACTTTCATTTCATCTTTTTTCGTAAACACTAAGAGAAGGCTCGAAAAAATACAAGTTCATTGGTAATTAATCGCCTACATTTTCCTCGCAGATATTCTTTGTTCTTAGCGTCTATTAAATTGTATAGGTCCATATAAACTGCACGTTCTGTATGATAGATAAATAGACTACGAGTAAAATTACAGAATTCGGAGAAGTTGTGTTATGATATTATAAATTCAATAAATCCTCGTGCCGTAAAGATGCTACGCGCCTATAGCATCTTTCAACCTGTAAAATACGCTAAAATAAAGACTTCTTTTGTTAAGATATTAAAATTTCTTCATCTGCAGTTCGGTTATGATAAATCGAAATAACACAAATGTTGGTAAGATGTCATTTATTTTATGAAATCATGAGAGTGACCACTATGTACAGAGTGTCCTCAAATTAAACAGATAGCGTTAATACAGGCTCTTCTCGATTATCGTCCCGAACTCGGGTCCGCGCCGGGATAATAATCTTATAGGGAGAAATGGTTCAGACTCTCGTCAATTCGTTTTTATCCGAAGCCTCGGCAATAAAAGCGGAGAAATAACAAAAGTATGCGCTTGACGGGTTCCACCCCCCCCCCCCCAAATTATGCACCAATAATGGTGTCGAAGAAGCCAGACGTTACCGAGAGGAGTCTGTATATTCTAATGCGTATAAAATGTCCATAAAATATACTATTGTAAATAAATATTCAAGGTTTTTTCAGTCGAAATAAAGTTTTTTTGTCACAATCTCTTAATTTCACGAAGACTGTCATTTTCTTCCTTCGTTATAATTTACTGACTGTTTCTTTGTATCTTTTATATAGTTTTGAATACAATAATAAAATACAGTGACACGTTTTATCGTTTAATTCGAGGCCCTGTACATTAATCGTACACAGAAATTCAAAGTCACAAATCAGATTGGAAATGCATTGAAATCAATTTTCATTTAACGAATGACGAAAAGACAAAGTGTCGCGATTATGTAACCTGGATTCATGTTAACTGGAATTCAATGCGGGGAGGAAAATGTTTCCAACTGAGAAGCTCGAGAGCCAAGTCGTCTACAAATAATCAAGATTACATTCGAGCGAGGCGAGAGCTCACGGAAATTTTATTCACGAACCTTTCCCTCCGTGTTTTCTTCTACCTTCGCCTTCAACAATCGCAGAATATATCTAAATCGTTTTATCAGGGCGAACAAACGGAAAATCTTTAAAATTATCAAACATATAATTTACTTATCTACTACATATGTGGTTCCTTCAGAAGGGTTTCAAACCTCTATATACTCTAAAAACAAACAACATTTAATTGAAATATTTCTTTCGCGTCAAGTAAATGTAGCAAACATAACGGTAATTATGTTAGATAAACTATTTAGAAATTTGTATAGGTTTCTTCATAAAAAAATATTCAGAACTTCGTAAAAAATAAACCGAAGGAAATCGAACCTGAACCGAATTGTTTACAATAGAAATATGCGAATCGATTCACGAATACAAGCAAGAATCGAGGCAATTATAATACATAAGTTATGTATGTAGTCTACCCTATGCATTTGTTAAAACAGTAGGTATAAAGATAATATTCTTTTTATAAGATACTGGTAAATGTTACTGTTATTTTTTGTGGATGTTAAATTGAATAAACATTGTACATGTAACACGCTCACACGATGGCTTATGAGGTAGGCTATAAAAGATTAAACCTCATATCGGTAGAGGTGGGTAATCAAACTGTTGGAAAATGTTTGAACACCTGACGAAGGGTCCAAACAGTTCGATCAGTGTTCGGTTGTTTCAAATGTTTCAACCGTCCATACTGTTTAAAACATCGAACTAATTTGAAATTGAATACTGTTGGAACTGTTTGAACATATTGTGTTTGAAAATGTCCAAACATGTTCGGTCTGTTTGTTTACGGACCCATCACTAAATACGAAGGACCTCGATGTGATACAACGAATCTTGTCTGATTCGAGTTCCTATTTCCTTTAGATCAAATCACTTAGTTCCTAATTGTGAATCGTAACTTGTAAAATAATCTTCGCAGTGCTTCAATACTGTTTCATACGAGGCGTCCAAACTCCACTCTGAAAATCGCTGAAATTGAAATAGTTATTCTTCATTCAATTCTGCGGATTCGATAGTAAATTTTTTAAAGGAAAGTTTTTGTAAATTTACAAGAACGCACATTTCATTCATCTTTGAATGTTTTTCGACGTTTCTTTTCCTTAAATCTCTCAGAACCTCCCCTACTGAAAAGATATCTTGCAAATTACTTACTGGATTCAAGAAAAATATTTTCTTCGCTTCTTACAAGACCTCCCCGTTTCTCTTCTGAAAAATCCCATTTGGACGCCCTATATCTCACCCATAATTTCTCCACCAAGTCTCATAGCGATTCCATTTTACAGTAGAACTTTATTACCTAATAATATTTCGACCATTTCATTACTCAAATTGTATTCTTAGTAAATTTTTCATTAATAACAATAGAAAAGACTGCGGTGAAATTAATACACGACAATAAGAGTCTATGATAGGTTACAAATACAGGAACAGAGTGAAGTATAACTTGTAAATTGGAATTAGGATGTTGAACTATAGTTACACATTTAATAGCGTTGAAATCCTTCAAATAGAAACAGCCTTTAATCTACTACCTTGTAGCATAAACTGGATAACTGGATGTATAAAAAAAGATATTCGTAAATTTAAATCCGATCAATACGTGGCACCTATTTATGTATTTTGCACAATTTGTTAACCTTATTTGACAACCTGGTTTTGGGATTGTTTCTTTATTTATTATAATTATTAACAATTGGTTCGATTATATTGGACATAGAAATGTTAAAATATTTCGATTTCGACAAATCCAAAAATAATTTGGACTCTATAATTGATAGTTACATTATTATGTTATATTATTATGAAATATTTTATACTTAGACCATTAATGACTTTTTGTTAGATCGAATACTGGTGGTTCTACTGTACATACATACGCGCACGTTAGTTAAGTGACACACTATTGCATTGTTGCACATGAAGTGAAATATTTAACCGAATGAAGAATATAACTATGCTCTCCATGAATTAAGATTATCAGAGAAGTTATACTCGTCAATGTACAAGCTACTACTTGTACATCACATTCAAATATACATCGTACTGTATACGAGGAATTATTTCTTGCGGATAATAAAACCGATTAAATGTTGTTTAATAACAGAACTACCGACGCGATTAATACATAAATATTTTTACCAGAATCGTGAAAGTAATGGATTCTCCAAAAAAGTACAAATTGTTATATTTATTCGTTAATGTATTCAGTTATTGCAACAAACAACAAGCATAATTTTCGAAAATACAATGCTATAAATTGAAGTCATTATCCGTCCACTTTAGTTTAACAATTCTGGTACTTGTAGCATATGAAATAAGTCAAACAGGCAATGCACGAAAATAAAATCCATTAATCTTCATTTTACTTTCTGGTGAATATCGTTACGTAAACGTAAAAAGAGTCCTCAAAGAATCAGAACTCACTGGATCCCTTTCGAACATTTTGGACTCCGTAATAGTGCCTTGAAATACAATCTTTCAACCTCATTGGTAAAAGTGTGTTGAATATATATATCTTTGAATCTATTTCGGCTAATAAGAGCTGTTTAAAGTGAAAGAATTATTAAACAAAAATCCGTCGCTCTGTGTGCAACAGTAATAATGGACCTTTCCCTTTAGAGGTTTCGCCGGGAACGTTAAAGAATAAAGAGGTTCTCGCAGCTCTTCGTTTTCCTCTTGAATCCCAGCAGGTGCTTCAAGATCCTTCTGCGGTGCTTGCTCCTACGTCGTCTGGTCGCTTGGTCCCGGTCCCGTTGCGGATTCAATTGGATCTGCGCCAAAATACCGACCAACAGCTCGTCCACGTGGTGTGCCAGTCCCGAGGAAGTTTCGATGAATTTGCAGCCGCAATTGTTCGCCAAACGTCGGCCAGCTGTCCAAATACGAAACAGAAATTCGTAAAATATTTGCAGTATTTTTCTCTGCTCATAAATTCTAAATCCACTCTTCATGTATTTCATGTTTCGCGTTCTCTACGGATCGTGTAACTTAATTTAATCCTCACACGGCGAGTGTTCCGCGATTAACGCGGCTGGCGAATGCAGGATTATTTTTTACCCGTAGTAAAGGTTTTATTACTTGTGGTTTGAAAGAAAAATTAGTATATACAATATTACAGAATGGCATTATAAATACAGGGTGAGTCACCTAACAATTTCGCCTAAAATATCTCCGTTGTGTTGAATGATACGAGAAAATGTGTAAAGGAGAGAATGTTTGTTCCTATAGGGCAGTTATTGGAATAGTGCAGATTTTTTTCTCAAGGTCATATTTTCTGAAATTTCAAGGTAATCGTCGTTTTTAAAAATAGGATGACGTATTGTGGTTCATGTAACGTTATAGCTAATGAAAAGACAAATTCAATCATGTGTAATAAGTTAACCTTCAGATGACCTTCGGAGTAATTATTCCTCAAAAAGCATATCTTAACGTACGAAGACCAATATTCATGCTTTCCGTATTCTGGTAGGTTCCAATGATGTAAACATTGAAACATTGTCGAAAGATATCTCTTGTTTATAAACTTGTGTCTTTCGACAATGTTTCAGTGTTTACATCAATGGGATGGAACCTACCAGAGTACGGAAAGCATGAATATAGGTCTTCGTACGTTAAGATATGCTTTTTGAGGAATAATTACTCCGAAGGTCATCTGAAGGTTAACTTATTACACATGGTTGAATTTGTCTTTTCATTAACTATAACATTACATGTATCAAAATACGTCATCCTATTTTTAAAAACGACGATTGCCTTGAAAATTCAGAAAATATGATCTTGAGAAAAAAATCGGCACTATTCCAATAACTGTCTTATAGGAACAAACATTTTTTCCTTTACATATTTTCTCGTATCATTAAAAACAACGGCGATATTTTAGGTGAAAATGTTAGGTGACTCACTGTATGGTGTATTTATTATGTAGTGATACTTATTATACTTGGTGTCATGTAAGTGATAGTACAACCGGGTAGGGGGTGACTCTACGTGAAAAAATAAGTCGAAAATATAGAGTAACATTTGTTTATTTGAGTCTTAATTTTCGAGAAAAACGGCGTTAATGATTAATCATAAATGTGTGTATTCGTGGTAGCAAGTAGAAAGGGAATGCTATGAACAGTCACGCGACCAAGTCCTATTCAATTGCACGCGTATCCAGGAGATTTTCAAATTCGATTATCTTGAAAACGAAGTCTTAATGAAAGAATTATATTCTACATTTTCGACTTGTTTTTTCACGTAAAATCACCTCATACCCGTTTACACAACACCCTGTATATTTTACAAATATATCTCGTTCTAAGAATTGTTTTCTTTTTTATACAGTTATATCAATATTGGCTGTTAATTGATTTGTGCGTCAAAATGAACGATCTCGAGATTTGTATCTTACCATAGAAACATAAAAAAGGAATCAGCGTCGTATATAAATAGAAGCGGGACAGACGTGGGGTGATGGAACCGGAATGAGGTCTTCTCGACGGAAATCGATTTTATAGAACGATGGTATTGTGCAATAAGTTCCCTCGGATTCGGACGATATGTAGAGTATATACGTGGCGGTCAAGTGGAATTCGAAAGTGAACAGTAATCAAGTAGTAGTAAAGGGTACGTGTATACATATATATGTAATAATAAAGGAATAAACATGGAGCAACATATAAAACAAATATTATTCTCCATTATATTATGCCAATGTTAAGTAACAATAACTTGCTTACGCTGAAAGAGGATATGAATCAACGTTAATATAGCATCCCTCCCTTTGCGCATTCATTAATATATTTTTTCTATAAAATGTATAATCTGTAATACATTAAAGATATTACATATTTAATATAAGTAATTAATTTACAGAAGAACTTTTAAGCTCGATAAATACAATGAATTATTAAAGTTTATCGAGTGAATTACTCAAATCGTTAGATTAATTAATCACGAAGCTTTCAACAGTTTATAATTTCAGCTGTCTAGAACGATAACTTTTAAGCTCGCATTAAGCTGAGAAATTAGTGTATCTTCATTATCTGAATTTTTAATATAATCGCGACAAAAATTCAATAAAAGTGAGACCCTTGCATCGTTTCATAAATTCCACTCGTCGTCTTAAACATTCCTGTATTTTGTAATCAACAAATCAGTAAATTCTCAGAATTTCTATTATTATTCATGGATAAAGTTAAGTAAATGTTTGCAAAATTAAACGAATAAAAACGTCCAACAATAAGTGCAATATTCAATGAGCTACCAACATTCATAATTGAAGTTTCAATTTTGTTGTCCATGTTTTTTATACCATGCATTCACAGAATTCTCAATTCATTTTAAGACAATGCAATAATTTTAATTAAACTTCGCCAAGTCAATATTTAAACCCTGTGACGATGGGGTAGGTTTTCTAATAGTCTACAAACATACATTGCTTTTTACGCGTTTAATTAAGTTATTTAATTGCAGTCTATTGCGTTAACATGCAAGATCACATTTTAACGAAGAAAATTATTTTCACATAATTATTTACTCAAAAGTATGAATAATTAAACAATAGAGTTGTTTTGAACGTGAAGAGAAATTAGTTCAAAAACACTTTAAAAATTCACAGGAAGATTATCATTAGTAGTTAAACGTGAGGTACCTAAAAGTGACCAATATACAAGCGAATCGCGTAATTAATTTTAATACATTACTTATACATTATTAAATTATTAAATTACTAAATATTCAATTTATTAGGTGCGCCAATAATTAATCCGCTCGCTTGTTAATATGAAGTAAATTCAAATCATTATTCGGTCTGTTCCTTTCTTGAAAATGACGGGTGATTTTGAAGAACAAGAATAAATATTATTGTAGTGAGACGATCAACTCGACTTCCGACAGGACGAATACTGTATTCAATAAAATTTAGCCAATCAGTTACTGGTATATCCGATAAATTCGTATGTTTATACCATAAGAAGATAGTACTGATTGTTCTTGCAGATCTATCAATTGTTAGGATACTCATATGAGCGGTATCAAATCCATAATAGTAATAGTAATAATAATAATAATAATTTTGCGGGCTACGTAAAGAAATACAAAACTCATGTGTTTGGCAATGAAGCACAAACAAAAAAAACAAATTTAATTTATGCACTGCAACAATAGGCTACACTCCGAATCAATCGGATAAACAGAAAATACGTAATTAACCAAAAATTCCAATAAAAGAAAACACAATACATCGGGGCGCACACGTGCCGGTTGACTGTTTTTTTACTCTGTGTGCGTCTATCATTGATTTTCTTTGTTTGGACAAAAACACGCGCTTCACACGGCGAGGGCCCACCACTGACGGTCAGTGACCAAAACAAAGAAGCAAGTCACGCATCTAGTACCCTCTGTATACACTCCATATAGGCATGCTGGAGATTTATTGTAAGGCGCCAAATTCAAGTAACTTCAACAAATAATAATAATAATAACAATAATAATAATAATAATAATAAGAAGAAGAAGAAGAAGAAGAAGAAGAATAATGGTTATTTTCGAAATTGCTTGGTATCATCAAAGAGAAAGATCCATTCCAAGCAGGAAAGGGGATCAAGTGTGCTGGACATCTTGGACTTGCCCAAAAGGACAAGAAAAGGGAAAACCGACGCTGTCCATTCGTTTAAGGGGCTACCACGTGTTTCCGTTACTCACCGACCGACGAGACCTCCCGTTTCCGCTCGAGGTCGACCTTGTTCCCGACGAGGATCACACCGTGGCTGGCCATGTAATCGCTCTTCCACAAATACAACAGCGTCTCTTCGGCCACCTTCATGCTCAGCCGGTCCACCACCGAGTAAACGACCACGTAAACGTCCGGATTGTATGTCGAGCAGAATGTCTCCACCTGTACAAGACACGGAAATTAATACCACCTGGATCCGAGATTAAGGAAATCAGCGAATAAAGTCGAAGCAAGAATTTTAAGCCACGAAAACTGTCCATTGCAGGATAAATAATTAGGGAAATAATGACATTTTTATTGTTACTGTGCGAACTATTATTCTATGCAACAAATGAGCCGTTCACGGGCCAAAGTGACTAACTTCATTATTTGAATTTTTTCAAATTTTACCGCTGAAATTTACGCTTTAACTTTTTCTATGCAAGTCTCCGTGATCCCCCTGAGTCTTAATTGCGCAAGCGAAATTTCTCGCTCACATATCTACGAAACGAAGGGATTTTTATTGAAAATAAACCTTTTAACATTCAACTTTAAGAACTATTGGATCATCTAGCACAGACCTGGAGAAATATTCCTGAATTTGTTCAGATTTTTCGGAAGCGTATAAGAAGAAAAATAGGCTTGCACACCAGAAGACTCGGAGGGGTGACGAAAGCAGTAAAAATAACAATGAATTCTAAATATAAATTTTGCGGAGTTAATAACTTTGGCGAATGAACACCGCAAATAGTACATCTGCTGATCAACCTATTAATACCGACTGATACGAAAGTGTACCATTGTGTGCCACGTATAATTTGCTTTTCACAGTACCAGGTGGCAGTAATTGTCCCATAACATTTGAAAATCAGCCGGAACAAACGAACTCGGCATTAATGGGGGATTTAAGTATTTAATAAATGAATTACTACTTCACAAAATTAATTCAATTCTCATTATGAATGAAATGCGTCGTTCAATGTTTCGTAAATTCCTTACGGCGAATCAAACTTACAACGTAATCTCGTGGACTTTCAACAAAACGAAACTAATACGATGCTCCAGGGAGGTCAAACGCAGTTTTTGAAATAAGAGGAGTAATGATATTGTTACGAATAAACAAGCCCCAGTGTACCCGACACGCGAATTCAGAGATACGATGTGGAGTTTACATAGTACATGGCAACTCTTTTGTGGTTAAGCTTTCGTATATACTCACTGACATCTCCGCAGCGGGATGATCAATGATCTCCAATTCAGTTTCTTGGCCGTCGAGCATCACGGAAACGTTCTTTTGCCCGTACTCCTCGTCTGAAATGGATTTCAACGACAGTCTCATGTTAGTCTTTTTTTTTTTAAATTGCAAACCATTAGGCTATTGGGTATCAAAAGAAAGTAGTTTTATAGAAAGAAAAAGAACTTTTGGTGATAAGTTCTCTCGTTTCGAAGAGACGATGAACTATTTTATTTAATACCATTTACTACTTTGCATTTGTGAAAAATGCTATCAGACATTTATCACATAGTTAAAGTTATGTTATGTACCATAACAATTGCGTAATTCAGTAAATACGACGTGGTTATTAATAATATCTATGAAGGTGTGAGTGACCTTAAACCTCAAAACGGAAATAATTACACAGTTTATTGGAGACGATAATGAACTTTTTCCGTGTTTTATTCTTTTTTCATCAGATCAGCAGAGTTTTGTTTGTATTGTCAATAAATAGACTGTGGTGTTTCTGTACCTATATTTAAACTCTCAAGTTAAATATATCTGTATAAATGGGGGCTTTTAAAGGATAATAGTTCAACACAGTTTTTTCGGAATTTGTACGAAATAATTACATGAATTAAGTGGATGATATTTAGTTGATTTTCCATATATTGTACATACATTCGTGCTTTTATTTACAAATGCAGGATAAATTATTTTTATCTTTCAAGATGTTAATGTTTTTGTCAATTAAATGTTAACTGTAATGTATAATGTTGTTTTTGCAGAGTTTCTGATAATACCGTGTGATGGGGAACGTGTTATTTACGAACGGCTTATAGGTTGTCGTATGCTTATAAAAGGAACGCTTCGAAATTAATAGCTAATTAAAATCGTGCATTAAATTGTACACAGAATTGTTGCGTTGGAAACTTAATTAAGAGAGTGTTGTATGAGAGGAAAGATTTGTTTACAACGTGTTGACCGAATTATTTACGGGGCAACGTTCAATGTTAATGAAATCTTTTTCATTAACTCGTGTATGTTTTGCATCTGCATCGCATACTTCCTGCGTAAACACAGAAATTATAAATAAGTCAGAAATAACTCGTGTTTCATTCAGACATAATCTGCCCAAAAGGTCATGGTCTTCCAAATCGATGCACAACCTTAAATTTTCTAAATCTGTGTACAAAGTTTCGTCATTGCCATTTATTAAAATTTGTTTGTTATTGAAAGCCGTTTAAAAAATATTTAAGAAATTTTTGTATGTTAAATCCTTTAACGATGTATCTTTAATATTAAAATTCCCACAGAAAAATGGTATGCACTTCACCGAAGATCTACGTTGGTTAATTGTTTAAAACTGCAACAATCGCAAAGTATTTCGAACAGATTTGTATGTAAAATAAGCAACACTTTGGGAATATGAATTTTGTTTAGTTATGCAACTTCTTTTCCGTTATGGAAATTCCATTATGGTTCCGTTTTGTTTAGTTATTCAACTTCTTTTCCGAATATTAAATGCTATTCATTTCAATTACATGATAAATCCATTAGAAAATGGAGGGAGAAGAAATTAATAAACAGTATAGATTAGCAAAGCACACTTGGTAAACGGACGTATAATAATGTTCGAATTTATAGATTATTAACATTCATACAATGCAAATTTATGAATATTTAAACGATAGTCTGTGTAATTACGTTGTACTACTATTGATTCCATATTATATGTTTCAGAAACCTGCACACAAACTAATCTCTCAGTAGGACCTACGAATCAGTAATAATACACAAACGTCGAAATTACGTTTATAATGACTAACAATACAATTAAAATTTTTAATGAATTATTTATAATTGTCAAGAACAACCTGAATTTATTTTTTCGAAGAAAATGCAGGTATTTAATTGTAAATATGAAACTCAAATTTGGCGCCAAGTTTAAATACACTTTAAATCGTATACTTTTTTAACTTCAAAGTTAATATGAATCAAAACAAGACCATATTGTTGCATTTGATGAATTTGAAATATTTTTCACCGTTGAAGCATTGTATTTATTCAACAATATGTTTTTTCTGCTTCTGCTGATTTTATCGTAGCGAGATACAGTTTATCAGCCTTAACATGGTCTCTACAAAGTAAATATCGATATTTTGCCTCAAAGGGCTCGAGACTGGGGTTCGAAGGTCTGGTTCGAGGAGATAAGGTCAGGCGTCCCTCATTATTCTCGCGAAAGGCTTTTCATTGTGAGATAGGACACGTATGAAGTATCAAAGTGCATAATAATAAATAAACAATTCTGCTCATTTCTCACTACACGATAATTTGTATTGGATAAATAAAAGATAGGCATAAAGTTTTTTTGGGGAAAACTCAGTTTCCTTATTCGTTAATATCATTTCATTTCACGAAAACGTGAAATTATATTATAGAACGTATGATATTCTGAAATTTACTGTCTCGAGTGACTGAAGTTCATACAAGTTTCATAAATCTATTAACACATCAGCTTAAACTTCACAAATCTATTCCATTTTTAACATACTTATAGTGAAACGGGAACGTGATTGTCGCAAATTTATCTTACATGCTTTTACAGATGTTTTATTTCAAAAGGCTAACGTGTCAGATAATTTTAATGAAAACGTTGCGAAATTTTTAAATGTAGAACTTCAAGTGACATCGTGTCTTTTACACGCTTTACATTTTGCGGAAATCCACGTAAAATTTTGGGATTCCATTCAACACACTTGGGATACTTAACCCCTTGTCTTACGATTTTCTTGACGACTATTCTCTTAAGAATTACTTTACCATTAATAAGTTCCCAGAAAGGAATTTTATTCTTATGGCAGATGTAACATTTACTCTGAATCTTAAATGTTCATACGAGCAAAACGGTATTTTACTTCGACTTAAAGAAAACGAATTATATGAATGTTTATTAAATCCATTTTGAAATCGTCATCACATGTGTGACTCGATGTTGTAAGGCAAGGGGTTGATACGACTTCCAGGTACCTACATATTTAAAACTATACCGTATACGTTACATTTTCTTTTTTAACATGGATTTCGAGAATGAAGACAGTGATGACACTGATATTTACACTCAATTATACATTTTTTGATTTACAGATTAATTAATAATTATGAATTTTCCTCAATTTTCAAATCCTACTTACAACAAAGTTATGTAAGTGGTAAAATCTAACAATATGAATGAGTATAACAGGTAAAAGTTTAACGGAAAGTAAGTCACTATGATTAATTTATATCTGAATATTATTGAAAAGTAATCATTATCATGTTTAATGGATCGTACAGTTTATGACAAAAGAAGAAGACATTTCAAATACGAACTTTCATTTGAACGAAATGAAGCTGTTATCTACATTAAGGATGAAAAGGTCGGGAAATAACATGATTTCGAAGCAACCCTGCAGAAAGAGAATCGTCGGAAGATTCGCGAAACGAACAACAAATAAACTCGGTTTCTTCGGGTACAGAAATTATCTCGTGAAGGGAAATCTGGACGACGGTTATTGCATATGCGAGTAGAAAATGGCCGCTGAAGATGCGGCCTCTCGGCGAACCTGAGAAAATGGGGTAACGTAAATGCATACATAGAAAGCGCCATAAGGTTTGCATCTACTACGGACGTGGATAGAACCCACAACGACTGTAAAAAAAGCGTTACTACGGCAAATATCGATAGTAACTATACAAACTGAATCAATAAGTACTATTATTTAAAATAACTCGTTACCTATTGGTTGTATCAAAAAAACAATTTAAATAATTTATATTGTATTTGAAGGGACTCATCGGATAGATGCAATTTGATTGTTTTATGTCTTATATTTTCTGTGATATGAAGGCAACCTTGATTTTTTTTAATGTCAATGAATTTTTGAACCATTATCCACATAGAAGAGCCTCTGAGGCTCCGTTAATATTTCGTAATGAAAAACATGATAATATATGTAACAAATAAATAAAAATTTAATGTCACTATTTCACTAAATAAATAAATTGAATTAAAACAAGTAAAATATTTTAGAATATTTAATTTCAGCTATTCTGTACTGAGAGCCTTTGAGGCTCTCCTCCATTCTATCCTGATGGAGGTTAATACTGCGTTCTAGCCGATAAAAAGATGAATTCAACGACTTATAATAAGGCGACCTTGAATTGACCTTGGACCTCAAAATCAGACAAAAGATCAAGTGCAATCGTATTGACTTATTTGTTAAAAGTTTATCTCAAGATTAACGCATAGTGACCGAGGGGAAAAAGTGGCGAAGGGGAAGGGACTCTCACTACTTGATACATTGATTTCAAGTACTGAAATAAATGTTAATTTGAATGTTAATGTGGCATAAATTTCAATAATTCCCAATACCAAGTGGTAGGAAGCCTATTCCTTACGTCACTTTTTCCCCTAGTGGAAGCCGAGTTTGCTCGTCGGTGTACCCTCACGGGCAAACTCGGTTTCCGCTAGGGGAAAAAGTGGCGTAGAAGAAAAGTTCCCTACCACTTAGTAAATTTATTTCAAATACTGAAATAAATGTTAAACCGAATGTTAATTTGGCATAAATTTCAGTAACTCCCAAAACTAAATGGTAGGTGGCCCTTCGCCTACCTCACTTTTTCCCCTAGCGGAAGCCGAATATGCTCGTCGGTGTATACCCACGAGCAAACTCGGCTTCCGCTAGGGGAAAAAGTAACGTAGGAAAAGGGCCTCCTACCATTTGGTATTTGGAATTACTGAAATGTATGCTAAATTAATATTCGATTTACCATTTATTTCACTACCTGGAATAAATTTACCAAGTGGTAGAAGCCTTTTCTCCTACGCCACTTTTTCCCCTAGTGGAAGTCGAGTTTGCTCATCGGTGTACATGTATGTACACAGTCGTTCAAACTCGGCTGAGGAGAAAAAGTGGCGTAGGGGAAGGGTTTCCTACCACTTGGTCTCAGGAATTACTGAAATTTATGCCACATTAACATTCGGTTTAACGTTTATTTCAGTATTTGGAATAAAACTACCAAGTGGTAAGATGCCCTTCTCCTATGCCACTTT